CTCCCTGGGCGGGCCGGGCAGGTTTCACCGGATCCAGGCCCCGCCCACCGGACCCAGGCCCCGCCCGCGAAGGTCTGAGGTGGGGTGAGGAGTAGCAAGGGAGGGGGCCTTCGGACCCCCACGTCCTATCTCGCTTGACCCAGCTGACCTTGGCGCTGTTCCGGTTGGGACAGGTCCTTGGAAATGACCCTGGAAAGGCCCCTGTGTTCTGCACTGCTGGGGCACAGCTGCGGGACCCGGTTGGGGTTGGCGGGAAAGAAGGGAGGGCACCCGCCCCTCCAACACCGTGTTAGTTTAGAGAGTGCTTCCCAAGGAATAAGCAGCCCTTAAAGGCCCCCGCTGGGCCCCTCCAGGGTTAACACAAGAGAGAGTTGTGGGGTTACTCAGTCTTTTCCGAACAGAAAAAGCAATGGAGAACCGAGATAAAGAGCTGGCTCTCCGGACAGTTGGATGCTAGGTGCCCAGCTAGGCAGGGATGGGAGGGTGGGGGTCAACCGCTAGGTAGCTGCATCTGATAGCACTGCTTCTAGCAGGCTGTGCAGACTTTCTGGCCCTCGGTGGCCCCTGGCCCTGTAGCTCTCTGTCACTATTTGGTCAGCAAGACGGCTGTTTCCTAACTCCTCTGCAGGTGGCCAGAGGGGAGGGGAGGGCAGAGGGAAGAGAAGATGTCTGGTCAGCAGCTTCTGGATAATGATTCTTGGATAACTCAGCATCTGGGGGATCCTCCCAGGTCCAGCCTTCTACTCCAGAGACAGTCTCCTTCCTGAGCCCTGTTTGGAAGTTGGAGGTTGCCCTGAGTTGTCCAGGCAGGGACTAGATAGGCCCTACAAGGGGAAGAATCTTCAAAAGCTATAGAATGTGAGATAGGAAGGAGGAGTGGGCTGGGTCATCTTCTGGGAGCCTCCACCCTGGTTCCAGTCTCCTCCATCTCTATCTCACCTGTTGTGTCTCTTGGTCTCTCTGAATTCCTCTGAATCTCTGATTTTCCCCCTCCTCTGTTGCTCATTCATTCATTTAACAAAGATTCACTTAGAATCAATCCTGGGCCAGGTCCTGGGGCTATAACCTGGGATTCTAGTCAACACTTGTAACCTAGTCGGGTCTTAGAGGCCCCCCAGCCCTGGCAGATGTTAACCCTTTATTTGCTGGATTGTGGGAGGTCTAGAGGGAGCCCCTTGGAAGCACCAGGATAGCTGGGCCAGCCTCTCGAGGGTACACTTGGAGACTTTTGGGCAACTGCCATTTATCAACCTTTATAGGAGGAGCTTGGTATTTTAACAGCGAATGAGGACTAGCTGGTATCACCCTTGGTCCAGCAGAGCATAAGACCCCGACAGTCCTCCCCTTCTGAGGGTCCCCCTGGCCCAGTCACCCTGTCTGAAGGCTCTCCTGGTAGGCCTCCACCTGTGAGGGCTCCCTTGGCCCACCACTCATCGTGGAGAATCTCAGTCCATCGTTTCCTTATCGCTGTCAGGGCCTTTGGCTGTCCTTGCCTTCTCTGGAAACCGACAGAATGGAGGGAAAGCTTCATCTTTCACCCCTCCTTCCACCCCAGACCTCCTCTGAAGTGCTCCAACTCTGTCACCAGCTCCCATCCTGCCTGGCCTGGGGTGTGCCTAATCTTTGACCTTCCATCTCCAGTTTCCAGCTGTGACCAGCCAGGAACTTGAGGTGGCCAAGGGGAACTGATGTCTGCTGCTTGCCCTGGCCCAGCCTGGCCAGGCTGTCCGTGCCGACCAGGGCTTGGGTTACTGAGTAACTTGGGGTTGCTTGGAGTTGTTCTTTACTGGGGTCGCCTCCTCCTCCTCCCTGCTCAGGAATCCCCAAAGCCAACTGGCTCTTTTTGCTCCATCAAACTATCCTCAGTGTTTATGGAGAACAAAAGAGAAAAGGCAAAGCACCAGAATCAGTAAGACACTCGTTTGTTCATTCATTCATTCATTCATTCATTCAACACATCTTTGCTGTATGACCTCAGGCAAATTGTTGAGCCCTCTTTGAGTCTCAGTTTCCTTATCTATAGGACTAATTATATTCCCTTTGTAGGACTGTTACAGGATTACAAATAGTTGATGTAGAGTGCTGGCACTTTCATAAGCACTCAACAGACATAATTATTATTGTTCTGACTGGCTGAGCAGAGAGGGCAAATGCATTGCTGTCTCCAACATACTTCGGGCCACACGTGTCTCTGGGGACAGGAATGGATGGAGGGGGCAGACACAGTCTTGATGTGTTCTCCTGTCATCAGCTGGAGGGGATGGCCAGCAGGATCTGAGGCCCAGGACAAGCACATTCAGGAAAGGCCATCAGACCAGCAACCCCAGCGACATACCAATTCTTGAATAGAGGAGATTTGGTAGAAGGCAGAGCCTTCCTTCATTCAACAAACATACAGACAGGGTTCTGGAGCAAAACTCTGCCTGCTGTGCAAGAGGATGACTCATCATTTGAAAAATGAGCTACGGACACGCAGGCTTGAGCACAGACCCAGCACTGACTGTGGGGTACTGAGTGACTGTTTGTCCAGAGCTATTCATCTTTACTGGGTATTATCAGAGCCACTGAGTCATAAGATTGTGAGGGCACAGCAGAAATCCACTGTACAGTGGGGAAATGGCATATTTGGGAGCAGGCCTGAGTAGATCCAAAAGACACATGCTAATTACATGTCAAACAGTGGTCCAGATTCCTATGTCATCTATGTCCCTTGCTCCAGTGCTTTTCCCTTAACTTCTATCTATGGCCTCATGGGAAACTTTCCAAGGCCAACTGACAGTGAAACCAAAACTCAGGCCTGATTTTGAACACTCCCTGGATATTTGATAGGAAGGTATTATTGCTATTTTCAAGTGTAATAATTATGTTGCCATTAGTTTTCAAAAGTATTTCTTATCCTTTAGAGATACATATTAAAATATTTATAGTAAAAGTATATAATGTCTGGAACTTGTTTGAAATATCTTAAGGGAGGAAATGAATGGGACAGAAATGGCCATGGTTAAGCTTGAGTTAGGGATAGACGGGAGTTGATATATTATTCTATTTACTTGGGTGTACGTTCTAAATTATCTGTAAATCAAAGTTAAAAACAACTTAATCTGGCCCATGGATAGGTCAGCATGATACACTGAGGTCAGCTGTAAATGGGCTGCAGCTGTATCACAGCCTTATCCAGGGGTGGCCCTAAAGAACATGGTGAAGGGAAATCCTCTCTGGGACAGAGCCTCAAGCATCACACCTAGTGGTTCACTTTGTATGGCAGAGGTGGCCTCAGGTTGAGTATACATGGACAGTAGTGGTGAATGGCTTCGGTGGTTGATCAGGGCCCCAGAAGGAGAAAGAATGGAAAATCAGAGACAAGGAAGTGTGGGAAAGAAAACACTGGTGGAAAATTTGAGGAAATAATTAAAGTGACTTTTTGCTTTCAGTAATTAAATTATATTCCTAACAGTGTAAGAAGGGTGATTTGGCTCTTATTCTTGAACATGTCTTTAACACCCTAGCCTTTCCAATCAAAACTGGGGAGAGCAGAGTCTGAGAGTAGTTCTTCCTCTCACAGACTCTTAACCTTGTGGTGCCCCGAGCTCTAGGTTCTGTCTCTTCATTCTCCAGGTCATCTCCTCCAGTTTTGTGGCTTTCAATATCATCAGTATACTGATGTCTACCAAATTTTTATCTCCTCCCCAAGCCTCCCACTGAATTTTGTATGTGTGTGTTTAATCATGCCCAAGGGCAGCAGCATGTCTACAGTCAACACGATGTCCCACGTTCCCAACCAACACAGACAGACCGACGTTACATCCATGTAAAGCTGGTTAATGGTGACTGTGAGCAGGCCCGGGACTGGAAGCTTTCAAGACTTTACTTTTTTTTTTTATCACCAGCCCATTCCTACTTAAATCTTCTGGTAAACTTGGGTATAGTAGGGCTTCATGGGGATCCAAACATTCTTAATAAGGCTTTGAAGCACCTCAACACAGGACCGTCATGGGACCTGCTCAGGCAGCCCCAACCCACAACCAACGACTTGGAAAGGTCCCACTGAATTTAAGTCATGTATTTAACTGCCTGGTGGACATTTCAACTTAAACGTCTAACAGGCATCACAAGTCTAACACAGTCAAAACCTAGCTTCTGTATCCACTCCTACTGTGTCCTCCCCTAGGCTTCTCCATCTCATAAATGAAAACTCGATCATTCCAGGTGCTAAGGGCAAGAATCTGGAGTCATCCTTGACTTCTCTTTTTCTCACACATCATATTCATCCATCACCAAGTCCTGAGAGCTATGCCTTCAAAATACATTCAGACTACAGATATTTTGTACCACCTCCACAGCTACCACCTGGTCCAAGCCACCCTCACCTCTTGCCTGATTAAAATAGCCTCCTCCTCATCACCTCCCTGATCTCACCTCCTTCCACTCTTCCTTGCAGTCATGACACTGCAACCATCTTGATCTCTCTGTTCTTCCAGAATTCCAGGCACATCTCATAGCCTTGGCACTCTCTGTCCCCTTGGCCTGGAATGTTCTACTCCCATATAGTTCATTCCTTCCCTATCTTCAGGTCTCTGCTCAAATGCTACCTTATCAGTAAGGCTTCCCCTTCCTCCCACAATCTTCCCCATCCCCCTACTGTACTACACCACTGGTTTTCACACATTTTGGTTTCAGGATCCTTTTACATTCTTAAAAAAACTGAGGACCCAAACAGCTTTTGCTTATGTGGATTATATCTCTCAATATTTACCTTATTAGAAATCACAGTATTTTAAAATATTCACATATTCAATAGCAACTTCACATTAAAAATATTTTAATAACAATAACTATATTATTCAAAGCCAAGTTAATGAGAGCACTATTTACATTTTTACAAATCTCTTTAACGTCTCGCTTAATAGAAAAATAGCTGGATTCTCATATCTGCTTCTGCATCCAATCCATTGTA